CATTTCTTTGAAGTATTTAGAATTCACAATAGAATGAGGACTTCATTGTGGAGGGACAAGAAAGGCAATAATGTAGGTGAGTGTGATACAGAAAGTGGACTTGGGAATTTGAAGTCAGGGTCCATATCTGAGACCTTGTGCAGATTAAATAAGGATAAGTTCATGTTTTGGATAAACACCTAGAAAGGAGAAGTCATGGAAGAAGTGAGGGGAAATTAGTGCCCTTGTCCAGAAAGTCCTTGTGGAGGTAGGGACTGGGGAGCTTGTTCAATGAAAGGAGTAACTTTTGAGGTTCAAATTTTCTGAGGTGATTGAACCTACTCATGGTACTCCAATGGATTTTTTTAAAATAATTTTTTGTGTGAAGGTTCACACAGCAAATTAGGTTCCCATTTAACAATTTCTGCACAAATTGTTCAGTGATATTTGTTATATTTTTCTCAATGTGGCAACATTCTCATTATTTTCATTCTGGTTGTTCCATCTTCAGTAATCTAGTTCCCTGTCTCCTTACCTTCTCTTCTTTGCTTTAGAGTAATTATTGACCATCTGGTCTTATATAAATGATTTTTTTAAAGAAGCGCAGTACTCATGTGTGATATTACTTATTTTGTGAGCCAATCTGTTAATTTAGCTAAAAGGTGACCTCTGAGGATAGTTACGGTTCAAGTTTAAAGTGTATCTCAGGGCAATAGTCTCGGGGAGTCTTCTACTCTCAACTGGTCCAGTAAATCTGGACTTTTTAAGAAATCGAGCTCTGTTCCACATTTTTCTCCCATTCTGTCAAGATCCATCTATCATGGCCCTGAGTGGAACAGTTGATACTGATAGTCAGGCACCGTCTAGTTCTTCTGGTCTTAGGGTAGATGAGGTTGTAGTTCGTGTAGGCTGTTAGTCCTGTAGACTAGTTTCTTCTCTGAGTCTGGTTTCCTTTCTCTTTTGCTCCGGATGAGTAGAGACCAATAGTTGTATCTTAGATGGCCATTCACAAGCTTTTAAGCTCCCAGACACTATTCACCAAACTAGTATGTAAAACTTAAATTTTATGAACTATATTATGCCAATTGGCCAAGTTGTCTGAGAGTATGGTCTTGTCTTAGTTATCTAGTGCTGCTATTACAGAAATACCACAAGTGGATGGCCTTAACAAACAGAAACTTATTTTCTCACAGTTGAGGAAGGTAGAAGTCCAAATTCAGAGCACCGGTTCTAGGGGAAGGCTTTTTCTCTCTGTTGACTCTGGAGGAAGGTCCTTGACTCTTCAACTTCTGCTTCCTGGTTCCTTGTAGATCTTCATGTGTCTCGGCATCTATCTTACCCCATCTCTCCTCTGGTCACTTAATCTCTTTTATATCTCCAAAGAGATTGACTCAAGATACACCCTACACTAATCCTGCCTCATTAACATTACAAAGACAACCCATTCCCAAATGGGATCATAACCACATGCATAGAGGTTAGTATTTACAACACATATTTTTGGCGGACATAATTAAATCCATAACATTCCATCCTTTGGCCTCCCAAAATTCATTCTTTGCCACATGCAAAACACATTCACTCCATCACAGATTCTGAGTCTTCAACCCCAGAAAACCAATCCTTCGAGGTGTTTGGTTGTGCCTAAGAAGTATCCGAACTGTGCCCCCATGTGCTTTATTATATATGTGCATGCACACACATACATGTATATACATATAAATGCATCTGTGTATGCACACTTATTATATACATACCTGTCTTAGGCTGGGTTCTCTAGAGAAGCAAAACCAGTAAAGCATATAAATATATATAAAGAGATTTATGTCAAGGAAATGCCTCATGTGGTTGTAGAGGCTGGAATGTCCCAAGTCCATGGGTCAGGCTGGAGGCTTCTCCTGATTCATGTAGCTGCAGGGGTTAGCAAACACAAGATCAAAAAAGTCAGACAGTGGGGCTCTTGCTCACAGGCTGCAAAGACTGATGAATCCCAAGATCGGCAGGCAAGACTTTAGGTAATCTGCTAGCTCAAGTCCGAATAACCGGAGGTCAGATGAACAGGAGCCACCTGCAGGATCCAGAGTGAACAAAAGCCCACGAACCTTGCCAGAAAGTCCACCTATATTGGATGCAGACCACACCCCCCAAGGAAACTCCTTTTCAACTGATTGGCTGCTCACAGCAGATCCCATCATGGAGGTGATCACATTATATCAAATCTCATCATAGTGGTGATCACATCATTATATGACTGCCAAACTATATCATAACTGCTAAACCACTGAAAATCATGGCCCAGCCAAGCTGACACACAACCTTAACTATCACAATACCTATACACATATATGCATATATGCATACATAGGTAACCACACATGTATTTTTTGGTTGCCATAGTTGCAAAATTGTATAGGTCGTGGCATTTACCAAAAAAATTTTTTTTTCTCGTGTACGTCTCCGTGACATTATTTACTTGGATCAAGCTGTGTGCACTTCACCCACATTCAGTGTTACCTTTCCCATCACCAAAAATAACAAATGTCAACTATCTGGAGTGATTCCCTCCTCTCCCTCCCACCTCAATCCCTGGTAACCACCAATGAGCATTGATTTCTGTATGTATACCTGTTCCTGACTCCAGTCGATTTTGAAGACTGAACATATGACTCTGGACTTCTAAAATATATGATCACACAATGTTTGCCATATTAAAAGGAAGCATTCCAGCTACAACCTTCACTAAGATTATTATCGGAGACAGAAATGATAGGAGTGTTTAAGGTCTTATTATGGAAAGTGGATGTCCTCCTCAGTGATGTCCTACCCTTTGGCACTTAGAGACATTTCCCATAACTCTAGGTGAGCTTCAAAAAGAATATTTTAACAGCTGTATAACCATCCACTATGTGAATATGCCATACTTTATTTGACCATTTCCCAGTGGTCATTTATGTTGTTTTCAGGTTATTTTACATTATAATATCTATAAAATAATATATAATTAAATATATATTACTACAATGAAAAGGCATACAAATAAATATTTGTCCAATTCTCTATGTCTTTAAGATACATTGCTAAAAGTAGAATTATAAGATCAAAGGGTATGAACTCTCCTGAGATTCTTACTACATATTGGTAAATTGCTTTCCAGAAATATTGTATCAAATCAACTTGAAATGGCTAAGTCAACTGTGATGCTGTACCCACCTGAACATTTTCAAAAAGCCTTTGTCAGATCATTGATTACTAAGGATGTCGAGCAGTTTTACATGCTTATCAGCCATTTGTATTTCTTCTGTGTCTCCTTATCCATTTTTATTTTGAGTGATTAGTATTTGTCTTATTGATTAGTAATTTATAAAAAGAGATGGAGGGGAGCCTATAGATTAAGAGACATTTAAGAGACATAGTTTCAAGGTGGGAATCTTACTGGGATTATGCTTCAAAGTATAAAAAATCACATTTATGATACATTTGAATATTTGATGATGTAAAGAAGTTATTGGGGGATTTTAGGTATGAAATAGTATTTTGATTGTATTTGTTTTTAGAAGAGTCCTTATTTTAATAGATGCACACTGATGTACTTATGGATGAAATGATAGAATATCTGGGAATTGTTTCAAAGTAATATGAGAGTCGGGAAAGTAGTTAGGGATAGAGAGGAAACCAGATTGGCCAGGAGTTGGCATTTGCTGAATGTGGTTGGATGGGTACATGAAGGTTCATGATACTATTGTTTCTACTTTTCTGTGTATTTCTAATTTTCCCTTATTAAAGGTTTTTACAAATGTAATGGTGATGGTGGTACTATATGTCTTGTTTCTGATTTTAAATGAAACACATCTGGTATTTCACCAGAATGAATAGTATCGGCTGCTGGCTTAAAAGCCCTTCATGTTGAGAAACTATCCTTCTATTCCTAATTGTTTAAATCAGAAATGGGTGCTGAAAAATATTAAATGCCTTATCAATATATTGAGATTATTCTATGCTTTTCTTGTTAGACCTATTGTTCTGAGGTAGTCTTCCTCCTATTAATAGTAAACCCCTCAGAAAAACCCTATATATAGTTATTGTTTCACTCTCAGCAAATATTTACTGAGCATCTGGTAAGTGCCACCCTCATGCTGGGCACAGGGGACACAGAAGAGAACAAGACAGGCAAGTCCTTGCCCCCCTGAAGCTTAATTCTAGTGGGAGAGGTAGACCATAACTACATAAATAAATGAGTAAGTTCAAGTGGTGGTAAGGCTGTCTCTGGCTTTCTGGCTGGCAGAAAATCTGGGTTTCTGAGCCAGGGGACAATGAGAGGGGAGATGTGTAAAGTATTGCTACCTTCTTAGTGGGTGGGGCTGTGCTTTTCAAGGCAGCAAATTGAGGCAAATTTTCCTCAGTTTAGCTCCATAGTTCATGATCATTCTTTCCAAATTCTGGCAATAGTTGAGTGTTAGAATTAGTTTTTGAGATTGTTTTGTGTTCCCTTGTTTTTCTGTGTCATTATAGGTATTTTAGTGCTAAATTCAGATAGTTGTCCTCCTGGGATTGTGAGGCAAACACCTTTTGCACTGGAACCGTGTGTGTGTGTGTGTACGTGTGTACGTACCAGTTTCACCTGTGTCAATTATCCTTTTAACAATTTTACTGCTTAATCTACTTAAAAGCAAAGCTAAGTAGGAAGTTAAAGATATCTACAGTTGTAGTGAAGGACAACCACCACTAGACTTTTTGAGCATTTATTCTGTGCTCAGTCATTCAGTTCTCACAATGAGCTTACATGGCACTGTTCAGATCCTTGTCTTACAGTAAAAATCTTTGTAGATCTTTGAGATCTTTATCGACCAAAGAGATGAAATAACTTCTCCAAAGACCCACTGTTACCAAGTGGAAAAGCTGGGATTTGAACCCAGCAGCCCTCTCCAGAGGCCACATTTTTAACCAGCAGACCATAGGCCTGTTTGTAATCCAGTCTCTAAGATGTTGATTTCTAACAGGATGACCTTCTCTGTGTGTTTCAGGTTTTGCTGATCTTTGCAAAGGAGGACAGTCAGAGTGATGGGTTCTGGTGGGCATGTGACAGAGCCGGCTACAGGTGCAATATCTCTCGGACTCCAGAGTCAGCCCTTGAATGCTTTTTAGATAAGCACCATGAAATTATTGTTATTGATCACAGACAAACTCGAAACTTTGATGCAGAAGCTGTGTGCAGGTACCTTCCTGGATTTAATGTGCTTAGTAAATGTCCATTTAATAGTTGAAAATGAACTTCACTCATAGGTGTGTGTTTAGTTCCATCCCGAGTATTTCTAAAATATGTGTTGATATTTCTAAGCAGTATATTTGATTTCTGGGATGAAAGCTATAGCTCCTCTTGCGGATTTCTCTTGCCTTTTCTACTCTTCCACATTTGAGTTGCACTGAATTTGGAAGTGTGAGCTGGGCTCCAAAGAAAACTTCAGGGTGTCCTCCCCCCCTTGCCGAGTGTTGCTCATATTTGCAAGAACAGCATTAAAATTCACACAGTTCTTATTATATAGATATGGTTTGGATTCAAACCAGATATTTTAATCATTATTCTGTCCCAAAATGAGCATCAGCAATGTGTGAAATAGAAATTTTTCCCTCCCTGACACAGATGGTTAGATCCTACAGTAGGCTTCCCAGTAATGGAGCAAAGACAGCTACTTTGCAGCAGCAGAAAATCTTCCAGGGATCCAAACCCCCTGCTCCTTTATAGAAATACTTGCACTCTGGTCAGGAAAAGCATGCCTGTTCATAAATAAATGCATAGTCATAAGAGTTAGCACTGGTGAACCGATCAATTTAGCAGAAGTGGAATGCTTTGAAGCGAGAGGGTAGAGGTCACTAGTTAAATGCTAGACCAGGACAGACTCCATCCAATTACATATGGAACTGGAATTTTCTTGAATATTCATTAGTGAAATGAAAGGTGGGGAAATGGCTTCTTGGAACCATTGGTAACCTGACAAGAAATTAGTGGATTAGGACAAGTTTTTCCTCAAAGGCATTGCCTTTGCTATTCATTGGTGGTCTTCAAAGTTTCCCAAAGAAGAATTTTTCTTAAGGAACCTATTTTAAAATGTTTTACTGGTTTCACATAAGCTAATCTTTTTGCACATAAATACCTGCCTGTTTAATAATGTGCATATTTTATCATAAAATATTTGGATGGCATTTTTAACATTAAGAAATATTTTTAAATGCTTTTTGGGGTAAAATTGGGTCATTTATACTAAGTGTGCTTTTTTCTTGGCCTTAATTTACTTTTCATACAAGATTTTATATGCACAAATAGAGTGATTTGAGATAAGCATCAGCTATAGAAAAGTTAATAAGAAATCTTTTAATTCAGACAAAGCCAGTTTAGCAGATAAGTTTTACATTCTTAAGTATAAAGAGATGTGGCTCTGTTTCTTAACAAATGCATCTGTGACTTAGCTGCATAGAAAAACCGTGGTTATCTGTGCATTCAGAAGCCAGGTGTACATACCTCGTGATGTGTTTGCTGACTGTTATTGGTTATGTAGAGGCTAGTCAGGTTCCTGAGTGCTTCAATACCAGCACACGTGATAGTGATTTATTAAGATGTGGGGGGGATACACTCATGGCAGATACACATTTTTTATTGCCACATATAGCCCTAGATCCCTGACTTTTGAGCTAAACTGGCTGCCCCTTGCTTCCTTGCACCCCCGACTTCCCTCCCTCCCATTTCTCCCTTAGTCCTGTCAACCAAGAAGAGACATAGGCCTCTCTTACCAGGCCAGTTCCTTTGGAGAGATGAGAGAAAGAGGTAAACAGCAGGGAGCAACCCAAGAGATGGAAGCCAATCCCTAAAGAGGCCAAGAAAACATGTGCTCTGGCCCAGTTATGTTCATAACACGTTTTAGCTTCTGCTCTAGGGCCTGCCCCTTACAGTGTAGCCCAGCAGCATACCCTTGACACTTCATTGGGGTGGAATAGGCCCACTGAACGTGGGGAGTGGTGTTTTCCTGGAGATTAGAGCATGCCCCCGAAACACTGTGCATTCTTTTCATTAGGTGCTGACTGGAATTTCTGCTTAGTACTCAGTAGGCTCCTAAGTATAAAGTAAGTGTAGATTCACCCTAGCAGGACCTAGTCTGTAGGGTGGCTGGATGGGGTAGTCTGTGCTAGCATTGGAGGGATATTGACTTATCCCTCTTTCCTCTTGGTGAGTTAAGGATTCTCTCCAAAGGAACTTGTTCAAATACTATTTATCCATAAGGGGAAACTTCACTTCCCAGGAATATAATAGCTGATCATTTTCTTGAGCCTTCTGCCCTCATAGATGGAGGTCTCAAGGAATAGGACATGGGGAAGATACATTTTCTGAGAAAGGTCAGGAAAATTTGGAGTTGTCCATAGAGGATGAAGCAGTGTGAACTGGCTGTCCTTAGGAGAGAGGTAGTGCAAACACAGTAAAATGGAGAAGAGAGGAAATGCCAATAGCTAGAAAGAAAAACAAACACACTTTGTTTCACAGATTACTCAGGAGTAGCCTTGACCTTCCTTCAGTTCTTAGAGACAATGGTTCTCTTCTGAGGGATCTCAAAATAAGCAGAGGCCAGACTAAGAGAACAGGTCAAACAGGCATTCATATTTATACTAAGATTCAAGCATGTGACACTTTGTTAAAAGTTCGTCCAATTTATGACCCCCCCCCCCGACCAGAATAATCCAGAATCTGAGCTGTACTACAGCACATCTAAGAAGACTCAAGGACTTCAAAATTTAACATCTTTATATACTTTTATCCTGTTATAATCCAAGGACTAAGCTAACTATGTACATGTTTGTCATAGTTCAGCAAATATAACTACAGTGGCAGGAACTATATTACAATATTTCCCAGCCCGAGCTGATGACCCAGTTATTTAAAAGTATTTGAGCACAAACAATGGTACAACAGAAGAATGTGGACAACTTTTTGTACCTTCTTTAATAGGCTTTAACCTGCATTTGTATATCCAGCTGCCAGTAAACGCTTTAATCTTTATTTTAAGGTCAGCTGTCTGAACTATCTACTATTTTAAAAGGAAAAAGATCCAGCCCAATTAGCTCACCAAGTACAAACCGATAACTAGAGGATTGTAGGACTGCCAATTTTTCACAGAGTGGAATTTCAGTCAGAAACATGGAATTTAAGTGGAATTTGCCAGTTTTTGAAGTGGAAAATTGGCAGGTCTGACCTGTTGGATAATTGCCTAGAAGTTAAAAAAAAATTTTTTTTTAACAAAACAAAAAGATCATCCTAACCCACAAGGGCATCTTTCTTTGTTGTCTTCCATGCATTTTCAGACTTTTTCATTTAGAGAAAAATTTGATTTTGTGCCATTTTCAAAGTGAAGAAGTTCCATATTTGTTTAATGTTACAAAGCCGAGATCAACTTGTTTGACGTGGAGGCTTTTCATTGCAGGTCGATCCGGGCCACAAATCCCTCCGAGCACACGGTGATCCTTGCAGTGGTTTCACAAACGTAAGTGCACCCTCCCGTCCCCAGCTGGAAGTAGCACTGTTCATCTGAAACGTGCGTCTGATGTCAGCCAGTCTCTGAGCTTGCAAAGCAGTGGGCATTTCTTTGGCCCTACAATACCAACCTTAGCCCTTGCATTTGGGAGTTTTCTTTGTTTTACAAGTTTCTGGAAATACTTAGGTTTTTCTCTTTATCATATTTAATTGCTGTTGGCACACCCTCACACACCTCAGGAAAAAAAAGATTGCTCGTTATATACTAGAAATGAATAGAAAATCTGGAGAGGAGGAAGTTTGGAGAGAACACTGTTCTAATTTATCTTTGCTTTGAAGAAAAGAAATGGGAAAATGCTTGGTTTTCACTAAAGAAGAAGAAAATGGTACCATGAGAACAAAGAGGCACTAAATCTACCACAATATAAGGTTTGCGCAGTTTTTGTTGACACTTTTGTTTTGTGGCTAGAAGCAAGACAGAAGGATTTATGCCAGTGTTGGAAGGCAAAGAAGAAGGATTGAGCTGTAGGTTCAATTAGACTGTAGGATACAGAACTGGCTTTGCCAGGTTTATTGTTTGAAATGGCCAGCACTTAAAATAAAAGAACCAACAGGAAAAAAAGTTGTTTGTACAAGCTGCGATGGTTGGAATCTTTGCAAGTATCAAAATTTGTTGTAGTCACTTAATGGCTGTCATTAGCTTTGGAGAGAATAGACCTTAATTAGGGCCTAAGATCTGTTGCACTTGGCCCCATCATGATGTTCACAGCCTCTGCAACAAAGGAGCTGGCAAGCCAGCAACTCAGACAGGAGAGGCTAGGCCTCCCTCAGGCAAGGCTGGCTCAGGGCAGACTCGACGTACTTCATTCCAAGGCCCTGTTGGTACAGTGGAAAATCATGGTTTCAAAGTCTTTCTCTTACCAAAGACTCCTACCTACCTGCTACTCCTAGAGTGTTTTTTTAGGAGTTGTGTCTCTTCAATTTTTTGACACCTTCCACTGGCTGTGATCTGAGAAGTGTGGATAAATTGTCCACACTGGTTGCTTACCACCCCTCTACCCTGGTGGGAGATTGAATCCCTAGGGGAATGAGTGGGGGAACCCTAGGTGTGAAATCAGTCTTCCTTGATCCTCTTATTTATATTTTATCTTCTAGGGATTCTGAGATCTGAATAAGGTCTTAGAGTCCTGGACATGGAGACCAGAAGTGTGCTAGTCCACACAGCCTTTTCCCTAAGTCTGACTTATTCTACTTATTCCTGACATTTTTCCTATTCATATGGCAAAAATATTTACTAGTACTTGCCAAGTAAAGGATACTATGGCTTACCTCTTTTTCTTTTTTACCTTTTTTTTTAATAATAAAAGACTTCATATGTATATAAAGAGTAAAAGTAAAATGAATGGTGGTGTCTGATACCACTAAGGTGATGGAGTAGAACATTATTAATACCTTAGGAACCTTCTTTGTACCCCTTCTGTTTTCTCATTCAGAGAAGGGTAGAGCCTTGACTTCCTGAGGAAAAAAAGGAATAGGGAGGTCAGCTTTTCCCTGTAGGGCAGAAATCAGCTATAGGTAGTGCCTCAAATAAGCTCTGGAATTTGTCTTGCTATGTTCTGTCTGTTCCTCCACCCAGTCACTTTTATAAATCTTTCTTGCCTGTTTTCCAGGGCGCGAACCCGATGTTACTTGCTAGCTGTCTCAGAGATGCTGTTTCTCTTGTAGCAGTGGCAGCCTAGCTACAGCATGTCTTCATGATAGGAACTTTCCTGTGAAATGAGTGGCAATAAGTCCCTTGTTTTCTCTTTCTCCCTTCTAACTTGGCATTCCTGATGACACCTCCTCCCCGTTTGGCTGTGGGGTCATGCAGCCTATAATGTCAGTTGTCTTCCTCACACTGAGAGTTAGACCCAGCTAGGTCTTGGAGTGGGAGTCATGCTTTCAGAAAATTTGGGGGCAGAAATAGGGACTTGAGTCTCTAGGATGAGCAGTCCACTGCTCCCATCTGTTATTGAGCTTTGCTTCAGCTCCAAAGGGCAGCCCAGAATTGGAGCAGGCCACTCATATGTGCCTGTGGTGACAGTTTCAGGCATACTACTGGAGTTTTTTGTATTTATTGTCTTTGTGCTTTTTGCATTTGGGAGGCCAGTGTGGGAGTCAGAAGAAAGTTGTGTGTTTTCAGGAAGCTGCTCTTAGAGCTGAAGCTGTGTTTGCCTTGTCGCTGTCTCTCCATGTTTCAGTGTGAGGAGTCCTGGTTTGTATCTGCTGAGTGACCACATTTTCTGCTTTGCTGCAGATCGGGTGACCATGAAGAGGCCTCCGTCCTTCCTCTTCTCCATGCAGGCTTCAACAGGGTACGTAGACGCTGAGCCAGAGCCTCTCTCAGGTGCAGGCTTCTTACCCATGACTCTCTGATACCAGCAAAACATAATTGCCACATATGACTGTTCAGGGAATTACACTCCAGGACTATGAGGGAAAGGAAATAACCGTCTTCTAATGGGATAGTAACAAGCAGCTGCTAGTCACACTTTTCCCCTTTTCTTAGTTCTTAGTTACAGATATATAATGATATAAAAGCACATCTTACTGTATCAGATCAAAATTCCATAGTCCCAAAGTAATTTCATTTATAACAATATGACTAGATTAAATGTGTATGTGTGTGTGTGAGAGAGAGAGAAGAAGTGAATGAGTGAGTTTGACCATATATAAATAAGTCCACAAAACTGACATCCAGGTGCCATGTTCACCAGTGTCTGGGTATAACTTATACCATAGGGATAGACACATGACAGCTGAAGGTCTGGTTGTTGGCAAGTCTGCGTGTGTGCAAATGGAAAGAAGATGATGGAGTGGACTTAAAAAAGAAGGAAGGAGTGGGAAAAGACAATCAAAATATGAATATTTAAAATAAGTTTTTTTGTTTGTTTTTTTAATATGTTTTCAGTGAAGGTTTACACAGCAGTTTAGATTCCCATTTGACAATTTCTACACAAATTGTTCAGTGACATTGGTTATATTCTTCACAGTTTATGAGCATTCTGATTATTTCTGTTCTGGTTGTTCCATTTCTATTAATCTAGTTTCCCTGCCCCCTTAAGTTCTCATCTTGTTTTAAAGTAATTGTTGATCATTTGGTCACATATGTTACATTTTTTTAATTAAGTTTGTTTTTATTGTGTTTTAGATGAACATTTACAGCACATATTAGTTTTTCATTAGAAAATTTTATACACAAATTGTTTTGTGACATTAGTTGCAGTTCCTGCAGTGTGTCAGCACTCTCCCCCTTTCCCTTTCCACCCTGGGTTCTCAGAGTCGATTCTTCCAGTTTTCTTGTCCCTGCCTTCTTGTCTTTGCTTTTGGGCAAGTGTTGCCCATTTGGTCTCGTATACTTGATTGAACTAAGAAGCACATTCCTCACCAGTGTTACTGTTTATTTTATAGGCCTGTATAATCTTTGGCTGAAAGGTGGACTTCAGGAGTTGCTTCTGTTCTGAGTCAGCAAGGTGTCTGGGGGCCATAGTCCCCCAAGAAGTGTATTTTTTAATGGAGGTCCTTGGGTGGCACAAATGGTTTGTGCTTGACTGAGGTTGGCAGTTGGAACCCACCCAGTGGTGCCATAGAAGAAAAGCCTACAGTTTGCATAAAGACTACAGCCAAGAAAACCCTGTGGAGCAATTGCCCTCTGCAACGTGTTGGGTTGCCATGAGTTGGAATTGACTCAATAGTGATGGGCTTTATATTTTGTGATGTTAAAAGAAAACAAATCCTTACAGAAAAATTATGGAGGACCTTACTTGATGTGTTTGTTTTTTTTTTCATAATAGCATGTATTATAAATAAAAATAAAAATATTTGTCTTTGAAAAATAATTGAGTAGAGATCCATAGTTGACTTACGCAACTTTTACAGATAATTTAAACTTAAGTATATGACCTGTAGCATCCTGTGAGCTCCTGGTTTAAACCATAAACATCAGCAAAGAAAAAGTTTTGAGTGACAGCTACAGGAATAGCACTTACATTCAACTTGAAGATTAAGATTAATTACTCCAAGTAGACTTATCAACAAACTAAATAACTAGACTTCCCAGTATCTCAAGGTCTTTTGTAATAGGGGTAATCTGAGTCTCAAATAGATGATGTGATGTGTCCTTTCACATAAGACCTTCAAAAATACAGTACTGCCTGCGCCTTGTGAATTGTGAAATTCCTTTGGGTGCTTTAAGTCATGGTGCTTTGTCACCCTGCGGTGTAAAAAAAAAAAAAAAAAAAATCCCTTCTTTGTTATATATACAGAGAAGCATTTGTGATGCAGTTGTTTTGTGCTTTGGTGTGCTTTAGTGTGAAAGTAGCAGTGCTGTAAAAAATATTCAAGACAGTGTTTCACAATATGCAGTAGAAAGGAATGTTTCTAATTAGCAATGTTCTTCACTCGCCTGGCACTTTCCTTTTGTGTCTGTCATCTCTTCTCTCAAAGGTTGGCATTTCATTCTGAAGGCTGCTCTTATGTGCTGTTGTATCTTAATGAGAACGCATAAGACAATGCCTTTGATTTTTGGAATGCAGAGTTGCAGAAGAAAAGTGGACAAAGAAGCTGTGTGGCTGAGACTTATTTACTTACTCATTTTCTGAGAAATAGTGCTAAAATTAGTTACACGTTCTGTTCCCCAAAGTTGTCTTCTGTTTCCGAAAGTTGTCCTTCAAGTCTGAGTTAGGACATCAGAGTAAGGGCACAGATTTTCCTCATTAGCTGGGGACTAATTGGAGACGGCAATGATACCTTTATCCTGTGTCAACTAGGACCCGTGTAGGTGCTATTGGGCATCCTTTAATAATTCTGCTTTTTGTTCAGTGATTCTTCTTCCAGTGGGTATAGCGATTGGTGTAGTTTGGAAGGTTAGAGTCTTGTCCTGAGGGCAAGATTGTGGCAAACCAGTTGGCACTCTTTGGGAGCAAATGCTATTACGTAAATTTAGGAGGGGAAGTTACATTGTTTTCTTTTTATACATTTTGTAACCTGTCCGTGCTGCTCTAGAAGGTTTAATTTCTCTGCCCCCTGGTATGTTGCTGATTTCCTCAGTGAGCTCCAGTGAATAAAACCCTCTGTGGGAGCATGGAAGGCATCACCTCTCAGGGACAGCCTGGTATTCACACCACCAGGTGCCATCACGGCTGTTAACAGCTAGGTCAGTGCACCCTGAAATAGTTTGGGGTTTTATGGAGGCTTTCCCTCCTGAGTTTCTGTGGTGTGAGAGCTGCTGTGGCTCATCTCCAGGTGGCTAGTCTCCTTTTTTAGGCAAAATCCTGCCTTTGGCAACTCTCTACCCAAGCACCCTTCCAAATATGCCAGCTATTCTTGCCTTCTGTGAGGATTGTTTCCCATCTCTGAGTTGTTTTGAATGTATTAAATCATTTGCTGAAACTCAGCCCTGCATTGCTGGCTAATTGGCTGGCGCTTCAGTCTGTGGTCCCTGAGTGGGGATCTGGGAACAAGTTGTGCATCAGATCTTCCATAACAAGTCCTCTCGAAGCCCTTCGTAGCTGCACGTAAGAGGCCCGCTGCGCTGTTGTTCTGTCGTCCGGAGCCTTGTAGTAGCCAGCATCTTAGCATGGGCCCGTTGTAACTGTTTTTTAGCTCAACCTTTGCCTGCCTCTTTTTTCTATCTGAGATGGTCTTACTCAATCCAGCAGGTATGTGTGGTGCACTTACTGTGTGCCGCGCAGCGCACTAGGCATGCCAGGGATACAGATGTAAGACAGTTCTCCGCCCTTGAGAGGCTTCCTGTGGAGGAGGAAGTGGGGAGCTGGCATTTATTATTCGTCAGGCTCAGTTCTAGGTGATTTGTTTAATCCTCATTTTTGCAGAGGAGGAAACAAGCTCAAAATGACTAAATAGCTTGCCAGACTCACGACAAAGTCAAGATACAAGTGCTTGTTTCACTCTAAACTCCATATTGGGTCCCCCGAAATAGTATTTCCCAAGCTGTTCCATGGAGCACAAGTGTGCCAAAAACTCTTAATAGCTGTTCCATGAAAAAGGCTTCTGTGATCAAATAAATTTGGGAAACCACTGAAGACTCTGTCCCCCACAGAAAATCCACCATGCACATCAGCATCATTGCTTGTTAGCATAGTGAATGCTCTGAGAAGTCCTTTCCTAAAGACACCTGCATAACTCTGTTTATTCCAACATTTTCAAAACTTATTTTTATCACAGAACCCTTTTTTGTGTTTTATAAAGCATCACCCAACAATCCTCAGAGCTTTATTATAGGCTGATATATTGTCTTTACCTATCCAAAAGCTAAACCTGAATTTAATCATGTTTAACTTTGCTTTATATACAAAAGAAAGTATATCTCTTAGGGGAATCCCTGGGAGGTGCAAATGGTTAATCCACTCAGCTGCGAACCAAAAGTTTGAAGGTTTGAGTCCACCCCTGGGTGCCTCAGAAGAAAGGCATTGAAAACCCTACAGAGCACAGATCTACTCTGACACACAGAGGATTGCCAGGAAGCAGAATCACCTTGACAGCAACTGGATGTCCTTTATGTATATTTTTATAACTCCCCCTTTGTTTAGTGATTTCTGCCTGGAACAGTGGAGTACCAGAGGCATAGGGGAAGTCAGGAGGCTTTGAAGGTACCCATTTTGGAGAAGCCATCCACCCCAGATGTGTGGAAGAGTGTGTGGAAAGGAGCAGGGAGGATGGAAAGGGATTGATTCTTTCTCTGGCCAACTTGGTTGAAAGAAATCTAAGAAGTATGTCTTCAGCAAGGCCTGGTACCCTTCCCCTTTACCTGTCTAGCTATCTGAGAGATAAAAGAACGTGGTTGTGTAGTCTGGAACACTTAAGAGTTCTATTACTTGTCTTTCTACTTAATAGTTCACCAGCCATATGCTCAGAAAATTTTGTGTGATGTTTGTGTGTGTGTTTAATAAACTAAAACGCAAGACATTTCCCCCTGTTCCTAAGTAGAATTGTCCTTAAATCTTTTCCCTTATTTTTACTTTTCTGATTTCTTCATCTCAGTAAGTATTGACATGCTCGTGTAAGAGAATTTTGTGTATACACTACACTGAACAATGTAGTGTCTATAAGAAGTGTTTGCAGAATTACTTTGGGATTGTTAAGGAAAAAAACGCTCACTGTCCTTCAAGCCTTGGGCTTGCGTGGCTCATGCCCAGTATCCAGTGGGTCATTACTGGCTCTTGGGTGAATGACAAGTTGTATTTCACTTTTCTTCAGCTTTATTATTTGCTTATCTGTCTGTTCACTCACCCGCTAAGTTTTAAGTGCCTGTCACCTGCAGAGCTCCACACCAGGCACTCTGAATATTGGGAAGGAAGCAAAGAATGTCCTCTCCCCTGGTGGAGGCCATTTCATCGTGTGGTGCAGACTGAGCATGCCTCGTGTCAGGTTTTAGGAGATTTTCATTAGCACAATATAAAGCTAAAATGTTTTAGTAATTAACAAGGTTGAGAGGCATACTATGCCCCTGTGTGTTTATTTTCCTGTGAGTTGTCATAATGAAGTTTCTCACACCTTTGTTATAAAGGGAGGTAATACTACCTGCTCTATTGTTTCTCATACATTTGAACAAGCAATTTGAACACCTCGAAGACTGTTTTATTCCATCTCATCTTACCCACTAGTTGTCTTATGTTACAGAGTTACCTAGGAGTGGGAGCAACTGTTAGGTTTCTCTATTTGACTCTTTAAGAGGTAATTGTATGTGTCTGATGTATTGTCTTTCTTTTCAGAGATTTATGGAGAATAGCAGCGTAACTGCTTGCTATAATGAACTGATTCAAATAGAACATGGGGAAGTTCGCTCACAGTTCAAATTACGGTATGTAGAAATTTGTTAACAATTCTCTAGAAGAGCTTATCTGTCATTAGGCTGGTGTTCATAGGTTCTAACTGAATACCAGGAATTGGGAAGTCATTAAACAGTCTATGGCAGCTGGTAAACAGCAGGATTATACTGAGAACTCCTCGATAGTATGAAATAACTTGGAACCATTTCTTCTTTTGACAGTATTTTCCACTATTTGCAGCAGTTTTAAAATCATGTCTTAAGATGAGTGCTGTTTAATTTGTGGACAATTAGATCCAGATTGAGAATAGCCTTTAAGAATTACTTCTTTATTTACTACTTTCAACATTTATAAATTCCTACTTGGATTATTGTGGATAGGGGCAAACCAATGGGTATATTTATTATGCTAACCATAATAAGCTAATATTAATTAATGTGGTAAACATAATAGTATTACCACAGTAGCAATTTTGCGAGGTCTGTTCATGTCCTGAATATGCATGAAGTATCTTCAAGAAGCTGATTATATGTCTCTACGGATATGTGGTCCTTTAAGAGCAGGCTTCGCTCAGGTGCTCACTTCTGTAATGGGATTCTCTTAGAGTTTGGTCCTGCTCAGAACTCTGGGCTGTGGGTGTTCTGCTTCCAGGACGTCTTGGAATATCAGGGTGCTAGCTCATGACTAGCTTTGCTCAGGCTCCCCTTCAGCATGCTCCCAGGATCCTGATTTCCTCAACCTGCCCTCCTCCAGGTGGAGAACAGGGTAAGAGGGGGCGGGGGAAGACTGCTTGCAGGCCATAGGATGTCAGGAAGGTGCCCAGATGGCGTCTTCTCCAAAAGGCCATGATTGTTTCAGGCTCGATGCAGAGAATAAGCTTATAGCATTTCATTGTAGTGATTGTAACTTTTATCTTGATTAATTATTTTGCATTCAAAGGGAATAAAAACCTTTTAAAACTAAAGTCTTCTTTTCTACCATCCTCTGTCCTTTGGAAGCAATGGATTAGCATAAACCTATAGGTGCAGCTTCTCCTGGAGTCATCTTGGCCTGGAAGGTCCCTTTTTTTCGGCTAGAGAACATTAAGAAAAAAAGTGTGAGGATAAACACACTTTCTAGGGTGGAAGCGTAGAAAAAAAGGAATCTCAAAAGAGTGTAAATTCAGGTATTTTAACAGTCTTTGGTGAGGAATATTGCCAAAGACTTTGTGAATGAATTAGTAAATTACATTTCTTGGTTTCTTTTTATCTGGATGTTTATTACCTTCGGAGAACTTCATAGAATTTTTCTAGAAAGCCACATCACCTTTATTTCAGTAATTTATGCTCTTTAATAATGTACATTAATCATTTTTATTCTTTGAGGTCTCAACTGTTTTTAGTTGCGGGTAAAAAGACTTGGTGCTTTTATTTTAGACATTTTCACAATAAATAGAAAAAGGGATTTCATTTTGGTTAAATTCTTCAACTGTGTATTATTTAACAATAAAAATTAACAATACATACATTAATTGTTTTATTCGCAGTTGCCTCATTTTATCTTAAATAAGTGCTTCCCTTTTCTTAGGCAGCATTAAATATGATGGCATGTCTAAGGTACCAGGAAGTGGCCTAAACATATTCTTCAGTATTCACCTTGCTTTGGTGAGCTACTCTCAGGCTCTCTCAGGGACTTAGTGACACCTTATCTATGACGAGCAGCAGGGAAGGCAGGTCTGGCAATTTTAAATAAACATCCCCACCCAACACAAGGATTTAGAGAAAGGGCTTCAGATTATTGCTCTGATGAAATCTGCTTAGACCCAACTTTTCAAGATCTTATCAGGTTCAGAACTTTGCAAGTTTCTAAATACCTAACATTATGTAAGTACTATAACTTCTCAAAGTCCCTGGGTGGTGCAAACAGTTAATGCACTCGGCTGCTAATCAAAGGTTGGAGGTTCAAATCTACTCAGAGGCACCTTGGAAGAAAGGCCTGGAGATCTACTTGTGAAGCAGTCATTGAAAACCCTATGGAGCAATTCTACTCTGACACACATGAGGTCACCATGAGTCAGAACTGACTCAATGGCAACTGGTTATAACTTCTCGCCCTCCACTGACTGGAACTGGTTGGGGGAGCTGGACCCATTGCAGAGGTCATAATAAAAAGGCTCAAGTTCTTAATATATATAAGTTGATGTGAAGCTGGTGAATGGACTTGGCCCAGGAAGGCAGTAGCCCCAGAAAGGAGAGAGTGCCTGGTGTCTGGTCCCTTACCTTCGACACCAGCTTAAGCTCAGCTGGTAAAGAGCCTCCCTTCCCATCACAGGAATCCAGCATAAGAGCAGTCCCTGTAGCCAGGAAAAGGAATATGCAAGTTCTCCATAGAAGAAGTCCTGTGGTTGATTTCCTCTGTTGCTTTTTCTCTGTAGAAGAAGTCCTGTGGTTGATTTCCTCCGTTGCTTTTTGGGCAGTTCTGCCTGAACCTTATCCAAGTTATCTCCTTCTTTTTGTGGGGTGGTGGGGTGCATGTCCTGGATCTCCGTGAGTGTGCTATACCTGGGTCCAGCAGATGGGGGCCAGTGACCCACACCATGACTCCTCTAGCTTCCTAAGGCATTCAAGGACACCTTGAGCATCCACCTGCACCCCAGAGACAGGCAAGCAATGCTGTCATTTGTTGCAAACTGGAAAAATGAGGCTCTTTATTATATAATGCCGGAATAATTGTAGTCTAATTATGTAACACTTTTCCCTACAATTCCACCCCCAGCTGAAGCTAAATATGTAACATTATCAGCACTCTGCAAAGACAGTCTGTCTGTACTACAGGATAATGTTGAATGATGGGGGTGGACACTTTTGTACAGGTTGTCATATATGGTGGCCTTATTTACTAAACCAAAAAAAAAAAAGAGGATCATGTGGTCATAAGATGTTACCTAGTTTTAAAATTTCATTGTGTAGAATAACTTTTAAAGATATAAAAATTAAATCACATTTCTGTGTACACCTGATGAATTACTTTATTGAACAGAAGATTTCATGAAATGGGAAGTGGCTAGGGTAATCCATGTTAAGTAACGACCGTTTATGTCTTCTTACGTCCTTATGCTTCTTTATTGTGAAAAAAGCTATGTTACTCAAAAAACAATGTGGCTTTAGCTATTTATTGAAAGATTAAGGTGATCAAAAATCAAAACCAAACCCATTCCAACTCATAGCAACTCTATAGGACAGAGCAGAACTGCCCCATAGGGTTTCCAAGGAGCTGGTGGATTCAAACTGCTGAACTTTTGGTTAGCAGCTGAGCTCTTAACCACTGCACCATCAGGGCTCCTTAAAATGACTGGTTTATACTAATGCAGTGCCAGCTGTTGTTTCAGTCGTTAGTCAGTTTGATATCTGTCATCCAGGAGTTATCCTCAAAGCATCATGTTTATTTTACTCCTTATCTTAAAACAGTAGCAGTCCTCAGTTTAGACAGTAAAAGTTTCTGATGGGAAAAGCTCTGTGTTCTGTGGAGCACTACATCTCTCGGTATTAATAGACATCTATAGAGTACTCTGTCCTCACATGGGCTCTGTGTGACAACCCTGTGCTACAGGAGTAGAAACTGAGCTACAGAAGCTTGAAATAGCTGGCCCCCTACTGTGTCGCTGCCCAGAACAAGCGCGGATGAGTAGCAAATCCATGCCTTGTCCACTCTCCTCTGCCCTCATCCTCCCAGTTCCCTGCTGTGATGTGCCTTGTGTTCAGAATCTTTTCCCTACAAGCTGCCATCTTGCCCACTCCTACCCTTGTTCCAAGTGCCCTCTGTGTATGTGTTTTGTTTTGATAGGTTCTAGAACACTTTGGGGAGAGACATGAGAGATTATGTAACCCTACTGCCCTAGCCACAACTGACAGAAGAAAACACTAACAGCCAGAAAAGCCCTTGACGTGATCACAGCTGTTAGAATCTAGGCATCCTGCTTCCGAGTCTGGTGCCTTGGAATTTGTAGACTTTATGCCTGGACCTCCTTTAATATTTGCCTTTTCCCTCTTGACCTTCAAGGGCTCTTAGAAAGTGCCAGGGAAATGGTCACAGTGCCTACACTTCATGGATTTCCACATCTAGGTTACCTTTCCCTTGTGCTTCTTTTCCAATTTTTCAACTTCTTAATCTGGAGGATACAAAAATAAAGACACTTCAGGCACAAGAGTTATATGGTTCCCAAGAACAGAAAGTTAATAAAGCTAAGGTTCTTCTGCATGAAGAGTATTAATAATTAATATAAGCAATTAAGTTCCCAAACTCTGGGAACATGACTCAAATTGATTACCTCATTTTGCTGCAGGTTTATTTAAATAGAATCATCAACCAAAAAAAGGTTTAAAGCCCAGAAAAATGTGGTCCAGTCGTGTTTGTCACTAGGGGGAAATAATTTGCTGGTCCTACCAATATTCTTTCACCTCAGCTGTTAATAAGAATTTGCTTGGTCCCATTGGGAATTGTATTATTGAAGATTTTATGCTTTATTGATAATCACAAAACGAATGTTTAATAGATAAATTTTAGAGATTGGATGTAAGATCTTATCTTAGGCAGCTCTTGTATTGACAAAAACAATAGTACTCTGAGGTACCTTTTTACATACTTAGTTGAAACATGCAGATACTTTGAGGACACACTTAGGCAAAAGAGGGCATTATCATTTGATAAAATGTGTTAATTATGGCTTAATTACCCAGCTCTCAAAGTTAACGAATTAGCCCACGTAGAATGTGTTTCTCCACATAAATGTCTTTCCAGAAACATGTCTAACTTCTGGAGTACATTACTGTCCAGGGAATGAATGCTTTCCTGTGTTGCTGAGTTGGGCTCCGGGTCCAGGTGCCTAGAAAACACTATTGATAAGTCTTACTCTTGCTTGCCTCTTCATGAGAAGCAGTGTCTTAACCATTTTGGTAACAGTTTTAAAGTCTCCTTTTATTCTTCTTTCTTATTTTAAATAATTGAATTTACAAATGTAGCAATAGTAATAGGACAGTGTACGTTTCAAATTAGGTAGACCGGAGTAATTTAAATAAGAATATAGATGACAACCATTAGGAATTACAGTCAAGTTAGTTTTATGTTCTCCTCTGCCCAGCTTACCCATATCGTGATTACTTGTTTTACTTATCCTCACATACAGATATATTCATCTCTGCAAATACAGGAACACTATCCTTCAGTGGGCTAAAATCCTTCATCTTCACCAAGGTGGCTGTTGTTGGTGGTTGTTGATTCAAGTCCTGTGTACAACAGAACAAAATGTTGCTGGGTCCTGTGTCATCCTCACAATCAACAGCATGTTTGAATCCATTGTTGCGGCTATTGTACCAATCCATCTCATTGAGGGTGTCCCACACCCTTGTTGATCCTCTACTTCACCAAACATGTCCTGCTCCCAGGATCAGATTAACCAGAAAGCAAGGTACACGTGGGCTTACATTAAGCAAAATATCCAGGGCTTATTTGTGTTTACTTATTAATCTGTAGTGCACAATTTCACATGGATTTTACCACATCTTTGATATGATGAGAAACAGGTGAAATTGTGCACTCTAGATTAGTAAATAAGCACAAGTAAGCCTATGTGTACCTTGTTTATTGGGTAATCCATCCCTGCCTCCTGCAATGATTGATCATCCCTCCTGATGACGTGTCCACAGCAAGGAAGGTGGACAGTGCATGAGGGTTGTTGTTGTTAGGTGCCATGGAGTTGTTTCTGACTCATAGTGACCCTGTGTACAACAGAAAGAAACACTGCCCAGTCCTGTGCCATCCTCACAATCATTGCTATGTTTGAGCCCATTGTTGCAGCCATTGTGTCAGTCCATCTCATCCAGGATCTTCCTCTTTTTCGATGACCCGCTACCTTACCAGTCATGATGTCCTTCTCCAGGGACTGGTCCCTCCTGATGACATGTCCAAAGTACATGAGAAGTCTCGCCATCCTTGCTTCCAAAGAGCACTCTGGCTGTACTTCTTCCAAGATAGATGTTCCTTCTTCTGGCAGCCCATGGTATATTCTGTATTCTTCACCAACACCATAATTCAAAGGCATCAATTATTCTTCAGTATTCATTATTCATTGTCTAGCTTTTGCATGCATATGAGGCAATGGAAAATATCATGGCTTGGGTCAGGCGTACCTTAGTCCTCAAGGTGACATCTTTGCTTTTCAACACTTTAAAGAGGTCTTTTGCAGCATATTTGCCCAATGCAATACCTTGTTTGATTTCTTGACTTCTGCTTCCATGGGTGTTGATTGTGGATCCAAGTAAAATGAAATCTTTGATAACTTCAATCTTTTCTCCGTTTATCATGATGTTGCTTATTGGTCCAGTTGTGAGGATTTTTGTTGTCTTTATGTTGAGGTGTAATCCATACTGAAGGCTATAGTCTTTGATCTTCATCAGTAAGTGCTTCAAGTCCTCTTTGCTTTCAGCAAATAAGGTTGTGTTAGACAGTGGCAATTAGAAAGGAAGACATGAGAGACCAAACTGCCACCTTGTAGGAATGTGACTAATATAAGCCACAACCTATTGAATTGAGTTCTAATTTATTTTTATTTCAGTTTTTCTGAGTTTTTCCTTATTTCCTGGGGCAGTAGATGATGAATGAGGCCCACCAAAAGGTGGCACTAATAGATTAGGGCTTCCTGCTCTTTTTCTGATTAAGAATTTCTTCTGATTTCTTACAGAGGATAGAGATGCTGGGGGTGTCAGTTGAATGTATAAATTACTGCTTGAAAGGGAAGCAACTGCTATGCAAAGGCGTATGTTGTGGAGATAGTCAGGGCGGGTGTGGGGATAGAGGGGACTGGTGGACACCTGCATTAGAGAGCAGTTGCCCTGGAAACTTTGCATTGGACATTCTAGCACGTTTCCTCTGCGTCCCACCACCAAGCGTTCCTACAGAGCACACATTCCACCTCCAGTCCCTGAGCTGACCTGTAACCTCCTCCCCTTAACAGTATGTCAACCCTGCCTTCGAAAGGATGATGGGCTACCACAAAGGCGAGCTCCTGGGGAAAGAACTCGCTGAGCTGCCCAAAAGTGACAAGAACCGGGCAGACCTTCTCGACACCATCAACACGTGCATCAAGAAGGGAAAGGTGGGTCAAACAAGCAAAACAAATCCACATACCCCTCCCCAGTCCATTTTCTTCTGTGAGTTCTTATGTGATGTCCCTAAGATCCAAGTATGTAATAATGTTATACTTAGAAGAAAAATTTTATGTTTGCAAAATGGCTACTTTGAGATAATTTTGGACATCAAGTATATCTGTGGATTATGCTGATACAGAATCTAAAGATTCTGTAAGAAATAATTTCATCCTTTGCATCAATATATCCCCCTGTCATTGATGGCATACTGTGCCCCTCTTTGAGCTAAGTTCCACCTCTAGAGCTGTCGTGTGTGTTTTCATGTATCTGGTGTTAGGAGAACTTGAAGTATTTAATATCAGTATTTACAAGACCCTATTTTTTTGCCGATTTTCCCTTATCTGTTCTCTTTACTTGTCACAGTTCAGTATAGATGGGTAGCTTACTTCTTGCTGCCGCATGCCTGCTCCTCCAGTGGTGGCTTTCACTTGCTTCCAGGCAGTGATGGCAGCGGGATAAATGCAGCAGGGATCTTCCCTCAAACCTCTCCTCCAGGCAAACATTTGGTTCTCATAACTGGAACTACCTGTACATTTTCTTTTAAGCATTCAGAATGCTTTCTCACATATTATTTCTTTCATCTTCCTCTCTCTAATGTGAAGTAGTTAGATAAGCATTACATTCATCGGATGGGGATGAATAAAAATAGAACCAGTTTTTAGGGATGCAATGAGTTTGGATTATATATGATGGCCAAAATTACTGAAAAACCAAATTGGGGGAATGAGACTAAAAAGGAAGCAGGACATTGTAAACTGCCCCTGAAATTTTTCCAGAAGAATCCTGCCACATATCTAGTGACCTGATACGCATACCAGTCATCCACCTTGGCTGGAGAGAGGAGGCAAGAAATGGCTGCCGGGAATCTCAGTTTCTGATTTAACCTCTCCCTCCCAAAAATAATGGATGTGCCCCAGAGATCACCCTGAGGTCACCTGGCTTTTCATCCCAGCCCAGGGCCTACTTTGCCTCATCCACAGAAACTGTGCAAGGAGCCAGACTAACCCCAGGGACACGTTGACTGGGAGGCCACACAGGATGTTAGAAAGATGATGGGGTACGGAAGAGTTAGAGATACAAATTTAAAACCAGGTCTTCCACTTCCTGATGTGGGCAAATTAGTTACACTTTCTGAGCCTCAGTTTAAAACCTGTTGCTGTCAAGTCGATCCTGACTCATAGTGACCCTACAGGACAGAGTAGAACTGCCCCATAGGGTTTCCAAGGAGAGCCTGGTGGATTCGAACTGCTGACCTTTTGGTTAGCAGCCATAGCTCTTAACTGCTACGTCACCAGGGTTTCCAAACTTCAGTTTACCCATCTGTAAATTAAGGATAACGACATCAAGCTCACAAGGTGGTTGTGATGATTTTGAGAAAGGCCTCAGCAGAATCCTGAACCAGTGGTGGTTTCGTAGGGGAGAGCGGAGCTCCACCGCTTCCTTCCCAGCCTGGGTAACCGGTCACGTGGCGACGTGTCCTGGGACCCTCAGGGTAGCCTGGTGGTGGACGTGCTCAGTGATGGTCCTCAGTGTATCGTGATTGTGAGCCTCATGTTGGTTGGCGTTGCGTGGGTGCAAGGATACAACGTGCTTTGTGAAATGTAACTAAAGCATGTGGGAACGTTCTTACTAAACCTGATAAGACCCTCTGTAAAGCAGCCAGAAGCCATGACTGGAGGATTTTAAGAGCTATCTTTGTCCATGTAGGAGTGGCAGGGGGTTTACTATGCGAGACGGAAATCCGGAGACAGCATCCAACAGCACGTGAAGATCACCCCAGTGATTGGCCAAGGAGGGTGAGAGCAAACTCTTGAACTCTTAGATGAAGATAAAGACTCAGGGCCTATGAGGATGTTGTGTTTGCATTTTGAAATGCCAGGATAAGGATTAGACCCATAAATTCAGTAGAGTTGCGCTGTACAGGGTACCTCTGCCCTCTCGGCATCAGCCCCTGATATAGCTTTTCCTCCCTCACTGTTTTCCTGCTTATGGTCTTTTGTGAAGCATCATCCCAACCTGCCACTTCCACCTTTTCATCTCTGGTTCCCATGTCCCCACTACCCTCTGAAGGGGCACAATTTCTAAGCCTTGCCCTTCATAACACAGTGCTCTCCACGGAGCTCCCTGGCCTCAGCCTTCTCAGGGAGGGAGTCAGCCTTCTCTCCTGTGGTACCAGCTCTCTGCCGGTCCTCTCCAGGCTGGCATGGGCCTTCTTCCATATGGGGTAGGAGAGCCCTGGAGGTCACTGGTTAAAGAGAAAATGGCATGTCTGACCAGGAGCTGAGGGAATCTGATTCTATTCCATCTCAGATTACCAACCAAATAAAAAAAAAACCTGTTGCTATCGAGTTGATTCTGACTCACAGTGACTCTATAGGACAGAGTAGAACTGCCCCATGGAGTTTCCAAGGAGCGCCTGGTGAATTCGAACTGCTGACCTTTTGGTAAGCAGCCAAGTTCTTAACCACAGTGCCACCAGGCTCCCTCAGATTACCATAGAAGCCTATTTATTTTGTGAGGAGATAAGGTAAATATGCAATTCTTCTCCCTTTTCGTAGTTAAATTTTGTGAGAAGGTTTGTAGAGCCAAACAGAGTCCCCTAAAAATAAATCACTAATGAGCCTTTGTAAACCAGCCTGAAGGTCAACACCAACCTCAAAGTATAAGGGATACACAGGTTGTGTGACATTTTGGAAAAAGAAAAGATGGCAGCAAGCATGCCAGTAGCCAGAACAGGAGAGTCCCACCGGTGACTCAGGAGGATCTGAGTGCCTCGAAAATCGTTGTGTGATTAGAAAACCAGAAATGCCATAAAACCAACAAAGTATTTGTGGATTGTTTTTCCTCCAGTTTTACTTGTTTGGTTAGTTTTGAAATTGTTCTTCCTTCAGTTCAGAGACCACCACCTAGTATTTCGTGCCATATTATCATTGGTGGTCCCCTTTCCCTTCACTCTGAATGGTCTGCGCACTGATAGGCCCCTGACCAAGGGTGACATGCTGCAGAGCGAGGCTGCCCCCTGGGCCCTCCTCCTGAGTAGCACAGGCCTCTGTATCTTCATTACCCGAGGTGGTCAGTGCTCAGAGGCCGTACGAGATGGAGACAACACCCATGGCTGTCACTTTGTTTTTATCATCATCCTTAGGCCAGCTCTTCAGAAAACTGAAACTAAGAATCACTTTGTGTGCGTGTGACCAGATGATTAGTAACCAAAGCAGAAGAGAGACACTTTAGCCCAGGAATTTCTGTCAGACTACATATTTCTGATCTTTCTGATTTTACAGATAAGAGAAAGAAGTCCTTTTGTCCAGTGTTATTTTTCCCCAACTGCTGTAGGCAGTGAGGTCTCACAGCAATTCTAATTAAAAGTAGGGAAATTTTACCTCTTCCTGTTCGGCCAAGCTCATTACAAGTTCAGCACTATTTTTTACGCTCTCTTCAGAGAACTCTGGAGAAAACTGAACCAGACAGAGAGAGAAAAAGAAGTCATTATTATAAAAATCTAACATAACTCTCTGGATTTAATGGCAGGGCTGAGACACCTGTAGCCCTTTGCGTGGTCTCCCTGTGGCCACGAGCAAGAACTCAGGCTGAGTTTCGGGATCCAGTCTTGACCTTGAAATAAGAGGATTTTTATCTGCCTGAAAAACACCATCATAATGATGCCCATGCTATGAAGAATACAGAGTATTGAAGCTAAAAACAGCAACCATGGAATTTGGTCATTGTTCAAATGAGCATTTTATATAAGCTATAAAATCATTAGTGTCAGCAGAATTAAAACTAATTTTGTCTGTAGTAGCATTTCATCCTATTACTGAAGATATCTATGAGCCAAACTTCAGGAGTCAGTTATAGAATGAAAGACCCATTAGGAAAGTGTTCTGAGTCTGCTGTGATTAGAAGGAGGCACAGTGTGTGAAGGCATGTGTGGGCATGTGTGAAAAATGTGTTTTCTATAGATTGAGCTTTGTTTGAATTTTAAGTCTGCCCTGGAATGAACACTGGAGTTTTGTTTTAAGAAGACTCTGTTGATATTTCATTTGCTGATTTGTTGAATCATCTCATATCTGACTCACTAATAACTGATTGTTTATGTTATTAGGAAAATTAGGCATTTTGTCTCCCTCAAGAAACTGTGTTGCACCACTGACAATAATAAGCAGGTACGGTATTCAGTGTGCTTCATTTGCTTTGTCAGCTTGTCCACGCATTACATTCTCCACTGTGCTCAGCTTGTCTTTCTCTGTATCTAATTGTAGTTGCCCATTAAGAAGGTTTATGGGAAAATTAGACTTCTCTGACAAATAGTAAAAAAAAATTCCCCTGCAAGCCTATACTACTTTATTAGTAGTACACGTCAGTTTTGATTTAACTTGTGGCTGAGCTCTAGACTAATGTATTTTATGAGAGCATAAAATTCTTCTTGCAAATAAAAAAAGTTCTATTTGCTATCTTAGTTTCTTAAACAAATGAAAACTTTATATCCGTTTGAGCATTTCACCCCTACAAAACCTATCAAAACCAAGAATCACTGCAAATTAGTACTGTGATTTTTTTTTTTTTTTTTACCATTACATCATGCAGAGCAATACATTTGAGTGTTATCTTCTGAAGTAACAGCATTTTAATAAGATGCTATATTTAGGAACTTTTTATGGTAGTTTTATAATACAGAGCAACATTGGTATCTTTTTCAATCTATTGTTATCTTTTTGATTTAGACTTTCAGTACTGGATTATGTGTACTTTCATTTCATGCTTTAAAATTTGTGGCTTAAAAAGTACTCAACAAATGTAATTACCGATGATCTATTTTTGAAAACATTCAAAATATGGTCTTTGATGAAGATTTTTTAAAAAGGGACAGTATCTCTAAAGGATATAAAGAGCTTCTGGGCATCATGCCATTTAAATCAAATGTGGTGGAGACTAGTGAAGTGCATGATCAGATGGAGAAGTCCAGGCAGGGCAAGGAAATGACTGGGGGCCACAGATCCCAGGGATGCTTTGGTCCTTCCTGGTGAGAAGTGGTCTCCTCAAGAGAAAGTTGGGATTAAGCTGCATAGGGCCATTTAGTCAGTTATCTCAATGCGTCAAATGTGTCCATATCCATATGCTTTTTCAATGAAAAATGCCTGAGTATTTCACCTGGAACCAGGAAATTGTCACTTACTATCATAAAGTCATACAGGTACACAAGTCCATGGAGATCTCTGGGAAAGGAAGGGAATCGACGTTCATAGATTCTTCCAACTGCAAATTATAGACATACCAGGAGTGAGAGTGGTGACGTGAATGGAGGTCTACATGACAGGTAACACAGGCCGAGGGAGGGCTCAAGAAATCCCAGTGTCTCTTTAGAGACAAACTGTGGAACACAAGCAGTGCAAACATTTATTGGCTGTGGGTCTGCAGTGCAGAACACAAGGCCCACTTGGACTCATTCGTTCTCCTGCCAGAAACTAATCAAGTATAGTTCACGTCCAAAACCAAGCACACCCTTCCCCTACTAGCCTAGCCTTGCTCCCCCTCCTTCATTCCTTTGTTGCTTAATGAATGGGACCCCAATCTCCCTGTCCTCAGTGCTGCTGCAACTCCATGTGTTCAAATCCTACCATTTTTTCAAGGTCCAGCCCAAGAAACGTAACGTCTCCCTCCTCAAGGCCCCTGAAGTACCTTCTTTGCCCTCTGTCACCCACCCCTGCCTTTATCCGAGCTATTTGTGTGTTAAACGTCCATCTCTTCCCTGACAGAGTCACCAGGCTATGCTTGTCTGTGTGCGCTCACACTGCCTGGCACACAGTAGGCCCTCGAAACTGTTGGTTAGCTTGAATTGACATGAATGCCTCAATCCTGGCCTCCTGCCAGCCTTAAACCCTTCCTGCCTCCCAGGGAAAGTGGCCAGGCCCTCAGCACAAGACTTAAGGATGTAGAAGCAAGGGGCTACCGCTTCTTTTCTGAGACTCTAAATAGAAGTGTCTTCTCTCAGTAGTTAGCTGGTGTTTTGAGAAGAGTGGAGACACTGAGCTCTGATACCGAGCCATTGACGTCACCTAATGGTGCTGTACAGACCTAGAGAGACACTTAGATCTTCCAATAACAAGCATTTTTCTCTCTCTGACTAGCCAGTGCTCTCCTCCTCACAGAAGGAGGCTGAAGTGAATGGCGATGGGGTCTGTGACAGGAAGGGCTCCCAAGAGGGGGGGAGCCGCCTGTCTGCAGGCGGTTCCAGTGACGCTGCTTTCTGGGGCTTAGCTCTGACGTCAGAATCTGCCTGTGCGTTTGCATTTTAACGAGGAGTGACATTGTAAGCCATGCTGCTGTCTTCTGGGTGACATTTGTCATCAGCAAAGATCTCTTTTCCTGTGTGAACCCTGTAGCTAGAAACGCTTAGTGAAATTTGTTTGCTGTAAACATGGCTTCCTCGTTTTGCACACTTGCACACAAACACACACACACTTCCCAAATATGTATTAAACAACTGTGCTGGCACCAGGGACACAAAGTCTGCGCCCTCAAGTCCATGGGAGCCAGGGACGGGTGAACAGGATAAATGGAGGTGTGAACCAAGTGCTGGAGAAGCACAAAAGGCAGGACCTAAGGACACCAATTAGGATTTGTCTAGAATAAGAGGCAGCAACTGCAGCCTACAGGACAAATTTGGCCTGTTTTGTAAGTAAATTTTTATTGGAACACAGCCAGGCTCATTCATTTCCATGGTATCTGAGGTTGTTTCCACTGCGATGGCAGAGCTTAGTAGCTGCAACGGAGACCAACATGGGCTGCAAAACCTAGAGTATTAATTGTCTGGCCCTTCACAGAAAAAGTTTGCTGACCCCATTTCTAGAAGATAATTTTCTTTCCTGGATGTCCCACTTTCTTAGGCCAGGGAAAGTTTACCCAGACCCGGCGGAAATGCCCCTCACACATACACACACTTCCTTGGGCATCCTTTGCTTTTATGCCGACCCCTGCATCCTGTTTCAAAGCCTGTCTTCCTACCAGTGAAGATGTGAGGACCTAGTTTTCTCTGAGGCTTTTTCCTTTTCATGAGACAAAGATCCAAATTCAAATGGGTAACTCAAACTGTGGCATCCCAGCGATCTGCCAGTGTGGCCCAGGAATCAGGCTGCATAGGGCAAAGGAGACTTCCAGGACCCTGGCATTACACCAGATCTCATGAGCAGGCCCTAAAGCAGAGGGGCCTCAACACTGCCACCCCCCAGCTAATCAGACAGTCTCCTCCAAGCCCCGGACATGAGAATATGGGTAGTACAAAAACAAACAAACAAGCCAGTTGCCATTGAGTGGATTCCGACCCATGGCAACCCCATGTGTTTTCAGAGTAGAACTGAACTTCATAGAGTTTTCAATGGCTGTGATCTTTCAGAAGTAAATCACCAGACCTTTCTTTCAAGGCACCTCTGGGTGGGTTTGAACTGCCAGCCTTTCAGTTAGTAGCCAAATGCTTAACCATTTGTGTCACCCAGGGACTCCTTAGGTTTTGACTGATTTTTCAGAAGTAGATCACCAGGTCTTTCTTCCAGGGTGCCTCTGAGTGACTCGAACCACCAAACTTTCTGTTAGCAGCTGAGTGCGTTAATTATTTGTACCGCCCAGGAAGCCAGATGTGCTAGTAGTAGGTTTGGAGCCCTGGGGAGAGAGTGTGGGAACCTAGCAGGCAGGACGCTGGGGCTGCCACTGGCAGCGTCCGTGGGGACTGCCTGTCCTCTTCTCAGGGAGGGATGACGCACGGCCGTGGAGAAACCCTCAGGGCGGTACAGATGTCTCACATCCCAGAAGAGGAAGTGGTTTTCCTGTGAAGTCAGGGAGTACAGCCCACCCAAAGAGCAGCTTCAGAACAGATTTTCTTGTTCACCATGGAGGGCAGGAGGGTAGGTATGTGCAGGGGAAGGACCACAGCCAAGTTCAGGGAAGGGTTCTGCTGTCTGGCTGTTCGAGGTTCTTCCAGACAAAGGCAGATTAACAGAATGAGACCAGCTTCACCTCGGTTCTGCACAGGGTTTTACAGAGCTGGAAAGTAGTGGTTTCTGCCTGTGGGATTTTATTGACCCTCATTTCATGCCAGAAAGGCTATTTAAGCCATAAAAAAATAGGAAGGACCTAATCTCTGAATGAAGAACGGTTATTTAACTTGAGCAAATTTGGCTTTGATGAAAAAAACCCACTACTTATTTGTTTCACTGCACCAAAACCCGTTGCTGTCAAATTGATTCCAACTCATAGTGACCGTGTAGGACAGAGAACTGTCCCATAGGGTTTCCACGGCTGTAATCTTTACGGAAGCAGACTGCCACATCTTTTTTCTGCAGAGCCTCTGGTGGATTCAAACTGCTGACCTTTTGGTTAGCAGCTGAGTGCTTCAACCACTGAGCTACCAGGGCTTGCTTCTTTCACTGCGAGCTCATGTAAAGGTTGTCTCAGCCTAATATCAGTCTGCGGACCAACATTTGGGAGTCATTGCTTTAAAAGCACTTTTACATATGTAACTCACTTGAGAATAGTAGGGGCAGAAATGAGACCTGAATTGGCCAAATCTATAATGGTGAAATCTTGTTTTGAGGTATACTTTTTGGGGTTTGTGCATATTTTGTTTCATAGAAAGTTATTTAATCCTGAAATTGCTGTAAAGTTTAGAAACAAACGGAGCTTTACTATAATACTAATACATAGAACTAAGCCTGTCAGATGTGCCCAAAACAAGATGTGAAGGGTGAAGAGTGTCAGGGAGCAGGAAGGAGAGAGAGCAGGGTCTTCAGTTTTGAGAAGACTCAGTGTGGGGAAGGAGGGATGGGCCCTGAAGGCAAAAGCAGAGGAAAGCTTTAGGGGAGCACCTTAGGCTCAGCATAGGAAAAAATTATTTGACAGAGTCAGTAGCCTCAGTGGGTGGTGAGTTCCATACCATGGGAGGTAATCAAATAGAAGTAGGCTGAGCACTCAGTAGGAAAAGCTGTCTAGGGGGTTCAGTCATTTGCCAGGATATGAACTAGATCAGTGATTCTCAAAGTGTGGTTCCCTGGACCAGCAGCAGCAGCATGCTAGGAACTTGTTAGAAATGCAAAGTCAGACCCACAGCCCTCTGGGTGACTGATTCACTCTAAAGTTTCAGAGCTACTGAACTAGGCGAACAGCTCAAGACTAG